TGCCAAGAACCTACAACCAAGATTACTTTATCCAGCAAAGCTATCATTCAGAAGTGAAGGTCAGATAAAGAGCTTCACAGATAAGGAAAAGCTAAAGGAGTTCATCACCACCAAACCAGGATTATATGAAATGCTGAAAGGTATCCTATAAGAAGAGGAAGAGGAAGAAAAAGGTAAAGATACAAATTATGAACAACAAATATGCATCTATCAACAAGTGAATCTAAGAATCAAGTGAATAAATAATCTGATGAACAGAATGTACTGGTGATTATAATAGAATCAGGGACATAGAAAGGGAATGGACTGACTATTCTTGGGGGGGAAAAGGGTGTGGGAGATGCGGGAAGAGACTGGACAAAAATCGTGCACCTATGGATGAGGACAGTGGGTGGGGAGTGAGGGCAGAGGGTGGGGTGGGAACTGGAAGGAGGGGAGTTATGGGGGGGAAAAGAGGAACAAATGTAACAATCTGAACAATAAAGATTTAATAAAAATTAAAAAAGACAAAAAAATTATATAGACTATGCATAGAAGTAATCAGAGATACACTAAACTGTTAATAGTGATTATCTCTGGAAAGTGGAATTGTGGTAGACTATATTATTATGTATTGCTGTAATGCTTAATTTTTGTATAATGAGGATATATTACTATTTTAATCAGGAAAACAATAATTTTTTTTTTAATTGTCAACAAGGAAAAGGGACTTCGCAAGTGGTAGGCCACTGCAGGGTCTCCAGGCATGATACTATAGGCACTGTGACACCTGGCAGTAACCTCAGACTAGGAATGCAAAGTTCTCCTGAAGCCAGGCATACCTTTTCCCTCTCTTAGCAGCCCAATTACATATATTTATGTCCTGTTAGGTGTAAGTATCTCATCTCCACTGTGCACCCAGGTAGACATAGTGACTTTCCTAGGTAATAGGGAAAATTCTGGTAAAGAATTCTCTCTTTCCTGTATGTAAGCAATCTAATGATATGTCTTTGCAGGTCTTCTGGGGAGAAACTGATCTATTTTAACTTTTGCCCCCTTGAAAACTCAACCCTAGGAACCTCTAAAAAGATTACTAGCCTAGCTGGTGTGGCTCAGTGGTTGAGTGTCGACCTATGAACCAGGTCACAGTTTGATTCTCGGTCAAGGCACATGCCAGGGTTGCGGGCTTGATCCCCAGTGGAGGCTGTGCAGGCGGCAGCCAATCAATGATTCTCTCTCGTCATTGATGTTTCTATCTCTCTCTCCCTTCCTCTCTGAAATCAATAAAAATATATTTAAAATTAAAAAAAAATAGATCACTATGCTTCAAAGTCAAAAAGTCTTTTCTGAGTGTTGATATTTGTGTAGAAGGCTTGATTTTAAAATAAAGTATACGGGCAATGAAGACTTCTTAAAAGGCAAAATCAAACTCATACTTGCACTTACTTGCTGCACTGAAGGATGCTTGTCCTGCAGCTCGGCTAACTTGGAATCTTGTTCATATGGTGGAGTAGAACAAAGAGACTCAAAATTCACCTCTGCTATTTGTGTACAATCTTCATCAGTCTGGTCCTGCAGCTCGGCTAACTTGGAATCTTGTTCATATGGTGGAGTAGAACAAAGAGACTCAAAATTCACCTCTGCTATTTGTGTACAATCTTCATCAGTCTGGTCCTGCAGCTCGGCTAACTTGGAATCTTGTTCATATGGTGGAGTAGAACAAAGAGACTCAAAATTCACCTCTGCTATTTGTGTACAATCTTCATCAGTCTGAGACATGTTGGGCTCATTTCCAGCACTGAGACTGCTGCCTCCCTCTTTTCTGTGACAAATGGGTCCCACCATGGCTTCTGACAATGTGTTTATGGCTGCTAACAACTCAGCTGGCAATGCATCATCCTTTGTGTTTTCTAGTAAATCTCTGTGACATGTCAAAGGTATTGATAGCGAATTCAAAGAGTTGCTCGATGGGCTCATCAACTCTCTAGATTCAATATCATTCATTATTCCAAACAATGTCTCCTCCTGAGTGTTTGCTGGTGATGTTATTAACTTTTCTAAGGCAGAAACAAAAGTTTCAACAGAGCTTTCTTCATCTTTGGTTTCTTCAGAAGTGATGGTTAATGTGACTTCCTTTCCAGACTCAAAAAATACATTTGGTGCTGCTAAGATCTTCTGCGACTCTATTAATGAATTCTCCTTGACAGCAACCATATCAGATACTTTAATAGCAGTACCTGAGAGAAGGCTCATTTCAGGAGAATCTCTGTCTGCATTTAGCTCCTATGTATTCAAAAAAGAAATTCCATCAGTACAGTATATACAAAGAAGTGTTTAAAATGAAAACTTTATAGTTTTCCAAATTATCATGTCAGTAAGTTATCACCAAAAAATTTTAACAAATTTCCTCCCCTTCTATAAATAAAAATAGTCTAAAGGGAGACATATGTAATACTCTTTGTAATACTTTAAGCAATAAATAATTTTACAAAATAAAAATAGTCTATACTACTTTCCTATACCAAATCACTAATGAACAAATGGCTAAACAAACAAAAGTAGACCAAGGGTAAAATTGGCTGGACCATAATTACAGATGGCAACTTATCTGTTCAGCTAAGTTTAACTGTGCTAAAAGAAAGAAGCAGAGATGGCATGGATACTTAACAGATTATCTCAAAATTTCACTGCAGTTAATAGTTGTCAAAAACTTGGTCATAAACCTATTGAATTTTTAAAAAATTATTGACCAGGAATAAAATTGGTATACTTTCATCTTCTTTTTATTTCCCACCTCTTTATGAATATATAAATGTGAAGTAAAAAGCCAAAAGACAGGTCAGAGGAACAAAGAGGAGAAATGAGGGCACAGTTCTATGTAAATATTATGAGCCCTGCCTATAAAGAAATGGTTCTGAGTTGTGAATTTTTTAACCAAAAACCACAAAACTTATATTTCTGAATGACTATTATTTTTCAAAATCATCACCTTAATAGGTTTCACCCATTCTCAAGTATTTCTAATGCTCAAAATGTTATTAGACTTCCTCTTTTGAAAGTACTTTCAAATTTTTTATAAGCCATTAAAGTAAACCACTCTCAGTATTTTAAAGGAACTGAACTTCTTGTCAATACTAAAAACCATTTATTTGCTTGACCTTAAATAACAGAATGGGTTTCAATAATGTACTATTCCTAAAAATCAAATCCACCTTCCAGTGCCACACCACTCTGATAAAATGAACTGTAAATTGTAAGCCCTTTAATATTCTGATTTGAAAAGAAAAATGAAAACTATTCATTCCCTCTCCTCCTTTTCTACCTGCCACAATTTATTTTCTTGCGTACATAACACACAAAGCTTAAGAAGATATATTTATTTAGCAGTAATGCTAACTATAATTTTCTCTGAAAGATAAAAGGAATTTAGAAGGAATTCAAGAACCAGATCCTATCCATTCTTAAAGTCACAGTTCAAGGTCTCCCTCCTATTTAAAATCTTTATAGCTATTAAATCCAAAGCCATAGCTGTAATAAAGTATATACACTTTGAATAACTATAAAGGCAATGTTCGTTAAATCTAAAAAGAAAGAAACATCAATTGAACTATCAGCTGTTAAAGCTTGTCTACATTTTTTGGGACACCCTGTATATTGGACACTGCCCTAAAAGAATTTAATTTCTAACGGAAGATTAAAAACATAAGTACATAAGACATAAAATAAAGTATAAATAATGTCAAAAATACTGTATGAACTCAAATGAATGGCATAAACCATAGAGTGGCCTAATGTATTACAAGATCGTTTTCTGGAGAAGGGAAGAGGGAGTCTGCAGCAAGCTTTCATGATTGTTTTTAAAATGCTTGGTTTCTTTACCATAAGAATTTTCATAGTATGCACATTATAAATCTGAGACTTTAGGATACAGTGTTCTCCAAACTTCTTTGTTCAAAAAAATTCTTTTTCTCAAAAGATCTATTAATTTTATAGGATGCAAGTGCTTAAGAAATACTGATATAGTCAGTGAATAACGAATGTTAAAGAGAGAGCAATTTGGTCAAGATCAACAGAATTATCTGAGAAAGAGCCATAGAGGAAAAGGGACTCGAGCCTGAAATAAAAAATTTGTGAAGGAGTGAAATAAGGGAGAAACACATATTATTAAGCACCAACTAAGGTCCAGACACCATGAACTATCATTGCTCTGTCCTCACAATCCTGTGAAATGGGTATCTACACATACCACTGTGAAGTGGAATTCTACACATATAAATAACACACTTGGAATGCACACCTATCTGGTTCCAAATTTTATGCTCTTTCTCTTGCTTCCGGGTTCTTGACTTGAACAAGTCCCT